TGGTGAAGGATGTGATTGAGGTCTTTTTCAGCAGGGTGACAGATTGCACAAGTTCCTTCTAAAGTCATTCCCCTTCTTACTCGTTCGGCATTTGTAAGAAGGCGATTTTTCAGTGCAAACCAAAGGAAAGTACGTATTCGTTGCAATCCTGACCATTTCCAAATCCACAGCCAGCGGTGATCTTGCTCATCCCAATCATGTTCCATCTCGGCCTGATATGCTGATGCTGCGAAAAAGGAGCCATTTGAGGTGAGGGTCCAGAAACATGAGTCTTTAGTCTCCATAGCCTGAGGAGGAGTTATCACAGCAATTTGTAGGATCAAGTGTGGTGGAAAGAGGTGCTGGAATTTATTCCACGTCCGTTGTCCTCCGTCATCAAACAAGTAATTTATATATAGGAACATAAGAGTATTTTAAAAAAAAATAAATACAAAAAATAAAGTAAATTAAAATCTAATATTTAGAATTAAATTAAATATCTAATTAACTCTTATATTTAGAATTAAATGTGGTAAGACCAAAGTCTTCAACTAAATAATTTTGTGATAAATATATTTATATTTTGATTTTAGTTTTTCATCATCCACCAAAAATAAAGTGTCAATGTACGCGTCAACGTTAACTGAGCACTCTCTCACAATGAGGACACGTGTAATTGCCTGGAGGAGGAGGACATGTAAATAATAAATAATGAAGGGACTACGCCCAAAATGTTAGATGCCGCGAGATGTCACGTGGCTGAGATCCAGAGGTGCATGGATCTGCTATTGTTTTTATTCATTCACTCTCGTCTTCCTTTCTTTTTTTTTGAAATACTCCATTCGGTGTCCCAGAGAAATAAACGTCTTTCAGCCGTGACAATGTCCCCAGACTAATCCGGATTCGCACTCTCGTCTCTCCTTGATTGGTCATATCATCATATCATGCTGGATTGAAAACCACCCCCCTATTATTTGAGCTAGTCTCACGCCTTATGCCTTACCCCATCCCTATTATTTGAGCTAGTCTCAAGTAATTACCCGTAACTATCCTATTTATTCAGAAATATATGTTGTTTATTTATAAATCATATTATTAAATTTTTTAATATGAATTTATAATTTCGTCATTCATTTATTTTCATGCATGTTATTATTTTCATTAATATATATATCAAATTTTAAGACAATTAATAAATTTAAGATTTTTAAGTTATGATAAAACATATAAAGAAACATCTTTTACAATTATTAAAACGTGTATTCCATCCTTCGCTGCCCCGGAGCTCAAGATAAGAGACCTTATTTTCAAACAATAATACGTTTTTGCGGCTTTTATATTAAATACTACCTCTTGTCCTCAATATAATAGCTAGTTGACTAATTTGAGAAGATTAAAAAAAATTAAGATGCTTATTTGTAATAAATATGTGTTATTTTTCTCAAAATATCATTACTAATCAAGTTTATTAGTTAGAACTATCATTATTAGAATGACTATCTTGAGGAGAAAAAAAGATAAATATAAGAGACAGAGTCAATTAGAGTCTTATATTTATGATCAAAATAAAATTTAAACGAGGTCTTATATTAAGTATATGAGGTAGAATAACAATATATTTATATATATATATACCCGTTGTGATTGATTTATATAAATCACGTTTTAATTAGGAGAAATTTATAGTTCTAAAGAGGTCTCTGCTCTTTTCTTTTTTTTGTTCAAGTATTTAATATTTTTTCGTAAATAATCAGTACTTTATGCATGTTTTTTTTCCTCTAATAACTGGAGTCTGAAAGCTAATAACTTCAATTGTAGGACGATTTTAACGAGGCAATTAACTTTGTTTGATTATGATGAAACACTCCCCCAGATTAAAATCATGAGACAGTTTTGGTGAAGTATATGTAAAAATATAAGGCATTTTGGGTTTTTGAGGAGTAATTAATATTTTTCTCCAAAATCATCCTTAAAGACTATTAAAATTAAGAAGCTCTCATTGTGATATTAATGACTAGCAAGGTATAGCCCCTCGCTCGGGATGATTTTATAAATAAGCTAAAAATAAGTATTTTTTTAATTCTCTAACTATTTTTAGGAATATAAATTAATTGAAAATATGTTACTAATTTATTAATTTTTTGGTGGAATATAATTTGTTAATTTTAAACGGGTGGAGTAGTTAAAAACAACATATATCCCTTCGTTGCATAAAGCAAGTGGGAGAATTATTATTTTTTTTTTTTACCAGACAAGTGGGAGAATTATTTATTAGTTGCAACCAAATATAAGCAATATTTTGGCCCAAAAAACGAAAGCAATGTTACAGATTTCAATAAATATCCTAATGTGACGTCTATTACCAAAAAAAAAAAAAAAAAAAAGAAAAGAAACATATCATATTTATTCATTCAACTATCTATCTACTACCCAACTAGCCAGGTACACTATCCTTCGCATGTTTATTGGGAGAAAAATAAGAATAGACTATTTTTTCCTGAACAATTATTTTTAGATACACGTGTTCATGCCTATATTTGTCCATTAGTCATGCTATTAGGCAAAGGATAGACTATTTAAGACTGAGATAAAGTATGTACTCTTCTTATTATTATAAGTTTCAAATAACAAATTTATGAATAATAAATAATTAGTTAAAAATAATAAATAAGTTAGAAATATACTTTTATTTTTAAATATACTCTTATAATAAATAAGAAAAAAAAATAAAAGAATGTGAGAGAAAATATAATAAGAGAGAACTAATTAAGGGCCATATTGAAAAAAAATACATTAAATGTTAAGACAAATCTAAATTGATTCTTATAAAATGAATTACATTTCTTTCTAAATTTAAAGCTTATAAATAGGATCAGAGGGAGTGTCAATTTACTTGTACTAAAAAAAAAAAGGCAAAGAACCCAAATCAAATGATTTGCCCTCATGTTAAAATATACTTTTCTGATCCTATTTATAAGGTACTCCTAACATACTTCACATAACTCAAGAAAAATCTTAACCTGTATTAATTCTCTATTAAAATATAGCAACTTTATCCATATTTAATATATATACATTAAAAAAGAAACTATTTATACTACAATAAATAAAAAATGATATACTATATTTATGGTAAAATTTTAATAAAGTGACTTATAATAGAATCAAGAAAAACCTTTTTCATTGTCTTATAAACACTTTTTTTTTTTGGAGGGATGGCATTCTTGGCTCTCGTTAGGAAAAATATTAACTACTCCTCCGATCCTTAATATAAGACTCAATTATTGAGTTATTTTTTGTCCTAAATATAAGACATATTTCTCATATTTATCAATTTTTTCTAAATTATCCCTATGGATACTCCATCAACCATAATTAAGTAGAAGAGAGAGATGGGATATCAAGAAAGATGATTATGGTGTTTTAGAAAAAACATGTCACATTTTTTATAATTAACTAACTTATATAACTTTCTTAATCTAATCAAATTAGTTAAATGAGTCTTATATTAAGAATTGGAGGAGTATTTGATTCCACAAATTTGAAAAATTATAAGGGATTTCTGGATCCAAAAGCGTCATTTGGAAATCAGTGCAAGGGTCAAAGCCTCTCCCCTTTTGCCTCCCAGTGAAGTCTTTGGGTATTTTGACAGAAGATTCGGCTGGAATGGGTAGACCACGTAGGATCTTTACGTAATATTTTTAGTGTTTTGGGCTTAGCCCTTTGTCTCACCCAGGGGGGGGAAAAAAGAACAGAAAAAGCCCCTCACCTTTTTGTTCTTCTCTCAAGTAGAGAAGAGGCAGAGAAAATATTCATTTGTTAATAAGTGGGGACCCAATTATCATTTGTTTCTTAAAGAATGGCCTAGTCTGAATTAGGAGTAGTAATTTGGAAGGATTATGTAAGTGGGCCAGACAAATCCATTCTGCAATGACAGGTCCATTAAAATATTCGAATCCTAACCCAATATCTTAAATGTTGTCTGACTGGTGAGACCATTACATTATGAGTGGCCCAGTTCATGATTTCAGTAGTTGACGGCGGACTGCACACTCCTCAAGTATAATTAGCTTTAGAGCAAGTCTTCGTAACAAATTAATGTTCAATTTTTTATTAAAGGAGATATCCATATTTAATACTATTATAAGAATTTATTTAAATTTTAATAGTTCCACGTGTTAAATATTTGGGAAAATTAATTCGTAGGTCCTTATAGTTCACTTCAATTTTGAATCAGGTCCTTATAGTTTATTTCTTTTGAATAGGGCCCTTATACTTTGATCCGTTAAACCCATCCATCCTCAAAGGTTAACACCATTATAACACCGTTAAGTTTTGATGATGTAGAGGCTGACTAAACTGACATGTGGATAAAGAAACATGAGTTGGCACCACATGGATTAATTTTGACGACAGGTGGATAATAAGGTGATTAAGAAGCCTTTAACTAAGACCATCGTGATCAGTCGATTCAAGAAACCATCGCATTCCCGCCCTCTCGCTAATTTTGCGGCCAGTTGCAGAACGTTCAGTTTTGGTTTTCATTGGGTGCAGAGGACGGCGGCGACCAAGATTATCCAGGTAAAACTGCATTTTGGTACTGTGTCTCGATTTGTATTATCTGAGTAAGGCTGCGTGTTGGTGCTTTGCCTCAACGTGTTTTATTTTATTTCTTGCTCTCCATCTCTCAAACACAGTTTTTGAATTTCGAGCAGGTAACCCATATTTCATATCCATTTGTAAAGGTCCCATCTTTGATCTTCTATAAATTAAAAAAAAAAAAGTACCCTTATAAGCATGTGCAGATTTTCTCTATCCACAATGAGAAGAGAACAAAGATGTTGATTTGACATAATAAAGTTTGAATCTTTTTTGAAACCGAAACTATACATTGAATATTAATTCCAATCAAAATCAATAAAAATGATTTTGGCTTTTTAAAGTTATAATTTGTTAAACGCTTTCTACATTCTATGTTTCTCTCATTAATTTTTTTCTTTTGTTCTATCAGTTTAGTATATATGGAACGAAGGAGGGGAGATGACGTAGGCATAAAAAATGGGAATATAAATTTAGGGAGTGGGAACGAAATAGAGGTTGAGGATGATAATTTGACGTGCCCGCAAGCTGAGGATAGTGACGATGCAGAGTTGGATGATGATTGTTTTCATCAATTTCTTGATGTTGATGTTAAGAATGTGGGTCAAGGAAGTAGGGGTTCTAATCATTTGGCCGAATTCGAATCTGTGCATTCAGAGGCTGTTACTGCTTCTGAGTTACCGAACGAGAACACGTTGGCTATGCTTTCTGATCTAGAAGATGATGAGTTGTATGAGGAGTATGCATGTGATGACAAGGACAATAAGGCAATAACAAGGTATGAGAAATACAATTGTGCTCAAATGTGCAAGGAGTTTGAATTTAAGTTGGGAATGGAGTTTAATTCAGTCCAACAGTTTCGAGAAGCCCTCAAGGAGTACTGTTTGCTACATGGGTATGATGTTAAGTTTCTTAAAAATGATAAGGAAAGATGCCGAGTTAGGTGCAAGAAGAAGTGTGGTTGGTTGATACTTGTAAGCAAAGTTGGTGGCTCAATGACTTTTCGAGTGAAAACACTTGGACCAAAGCATACTTGTGGGGTAACATTTAATTCAAGGTTAGCCACATCAAAGTGGGTTTCAGAAAAGATAGTAGATCATATGAGGATGAATAAGAATTTGAAGCTAGGAGATGTGGTTTCAATAGTAAAACAAAATTATATGGTGCAACCTTCAATAAACAAGGCATTTTGGGCTAGGAAGATTGCAAAGAAAACAATAGAGGGAGACCACAAAGAAGAGTACAACAAGTTGGTAAACTTTTGTAATGAAGTCAAGAAGAGAAATCCGCAATCTACATTTGCTTTTGTCACTGACACTACTTATTATGTAGATCGCCCACGTGTGTTTAAGAGATTGTATGTGTGCTTAGAACCAGTGAAAAGAGGTTTTATGAAAGCATGTAGGCCAATTATTGGATTAGATGGTTGCTTCCTTAAGGGCACATACGGAGGTATTTTGTTGGTGGCTGTAGCTCGCGATCCTAATGATCAATATTTTCCTCTAGCTGTAGCGGTAGTTGAGACTGAGAACAAAGATTCTTGGACATGGTTCTTAAAACAATTGTTTGATGATATTGGTAGTATGGCTAAAAAGAAATGGGTTTTTATCTCAGACCAACAGAAGGTAATATGTTTAGTTAATTTTTACACTTATTTAACATAAATTTCAAAACTAACAATTATGTTTTAATTGTAGGGATTGGTTCAAGCTTTTGGAGAATTACTTGAAGGTGTTGAACATAGATATTGTGTAAGACACTTGTATGCCAACATCAAGTCAAGGTATGGTGGTGGAACGGTGATTAGAGATTTAGTGATACGTGCAGCGAAGGCCACTTATCCCCAGCTTGGAAAGAACTAATGAAACAATTGCATAATGTGTCAAAGGAAGCGCATGATCACTTGATGATATTTCCTCCATCTTGTTGGACCAAGTCTCACTTTTCAGAGTATTCAACATGTGATATGATAATGAATAATATATCAGAATCTTTTAATAGTCGGTTGTTGGAAGCAAGAGAACTTCCCATAGTAGGTCTTCTTGATTGGATTCGGATTTATTGGATGAATAGATTTGCAGAAAATCGCATCAAAGCTGCAAAATATCATGGGAAGGGAATTGTATGCCCTCGTCCCCGTAAGAGACTTGACAAGGAGGTTGAAGAGTCTAGAAAGTGGATGCCAAGATGGGCAGGAGACGACAAGTTTGAAGTTCAATATAACACTCAAAGATTTATTGTTGATCTCAAAGAGAAGACTTGTGAATGTCGATGGTGGCAGTTATCTGGAATCCCTTGTAGGTAATTAGATAAATTGTCTTATGTGGTTATAATCTGAAAAATTCAATATATAACTTGTTTCTTATCTTGCAGGCATGCTGTTATTTGTATTTACGAGAAGCGTGAGGACCCTCATACATATGTCAATGAATATCTTACTCTGAACAAATATGAAGAATGTTACGCTCCCATTATACATCCCATAAATGGAGAAGAGTTGTGGGAACAAATTGAATCAGAGCCTATAGATCCTCCAACATTTCACAAACGTCCTGGTAGACCTAAGAAGCGACGAAAGAGAGAGAAAGATGAGCCACAACCTCCACACAAAATCAGGAGACAAAATACAAGCATCAAGTGTAAAGCTTGTGGTAATTATGGTCACAACCGAAGAACATGCAACCTTCAATAAAAAGCCCACCTCCAAACCATTGATGTACCCAACTCTTTTGGAGTTTTAGACTTTTAGTTATACTATTTTAGGTTATTTAGTATGCAGACAATGTCTTCAATTTGTTTTTGGTTGTGGCAATGAATGCTAATTTAGTATGCAGACTTTTATATCTTTCTTGCTGGATATTTAGTATGCAAACAATGACTTCAATTTTAGTTCTAATTTTTCTTTTGATTGGAGACGAAAGACTGGATTTATTATTTCATATTTGCTTTTCATGAAAAAATACCAATTGAAGTGGAGGGTTTATTCAAACAATAAGAAGCTAGATCAACTATTCAATCAAATGATATTGAGCATGTTTCTCATCTCTTCTTGAAAAGCCCTTTCCATTTCATAATAATATCCTCTTAGTTGATTGAAGTGCTTGACTAACATGATTCTGTATCCAGCAATAGGACCTATATTGATTGTAAAATATAAGTAGGCGCATAAAAAGGAATACTCCAAAGCAACAGGAAACATAAATAAAGTATCCCATAAAAAATTTGCACAAGGTACATGTAGAATAGAATATTTCCATCATTCAATATTTGGAAATTTAATTAGACAATTGATATTAAAAAAATCTTCAACAAGCACAACTTACTGTTTTCTTGAGAGAAGTAAGATCCCAAATGTTGATATTATCAACGAAGAAACCAACAATGCGAGCAAATAATAAAATCGGACATTTTAATTTATATATGAAACATGACTCTTTAATTTTCCTCTTCAATTGTTGATTTACATATGATTACTGTTTTCACCATTAAATTGTATTCAACGTGCGGCTAAGTTGGGACATCATCCTCTTCAATATAAGTTTTGACAATTTCAATTTCTTGCCATGATTTACTTTCTTAATCTTCAATTGCTAACCAGTTAAGGACTTAAGCTCGATAGTATAGGATATGCTAAATAGTACAGGATCCACTGGGTTTATATCAGAAGTTTTGAAAACTCAATTAAGATCCACCAAAAAAATAAAACTCTCACGGCAAGAAAATTAAAGAAGAGAAACAAAAATCTAGCAATAAGTGGTAGATTAAGATATAAGAATGGTTGAGTAATACTTGACGACATATAGCACCGTGAATTTTAAAAGTACGTTCCTTGTATCATGATTGCAATTGCAGGCAAGGAATTCCGCGGCGGGAGTCGGAAACTGAAGACCTAGAAACAGTAACCCTTGATTTTTTTTTCGTGTTTACCTGAAAGTTTTAAAAGTAAAATAATTTTAATATTATATTTTTAACATGTCAGCTAGCCATGAAAGCATACTATTAGCCATATCGTCAAAACTTAACGGTGTTATAACAGTGTTAACCCTTAAGGATGGATGGGCTTAACAGATCAAAGTGTAAGGGTTTGATTTAAAAGAAATAAACTATAGGGATTTGATTCAAAATTGAAGTAAACTATAAGGACTCGCGAATTAATTTTCCCTAAATATTTCATTAAACGATAATTTTAGTTAATACATATAATCAATAAGGATATTTTAGAGAAGACAATACCTATTTATTACAAGTAACTAATTTAAGAAACTTTTTTAATTTATTCAAATTAATCAACTGATTCTTATAATAAAGATCAAAGATAGTACTCAATAGTGTTAGAATAAAATTGTCTTCAACCAAAAAAAAAAATTTAAAACTTTAGAGTCTAAAGAAGTAAAAATCACGCGAAACGCCAAGGCGTTGTAAAAAAGCAAGAGGTTTCTAAGTTGTGATGCTCCTGCTGTACTATTTATAAAGTAGATAAATAATATTTTTTTAATTATTTTAGAAGAATTTGGTTTCTTTCTTGGAGAAATCACAAATAAAGACCCTCGAATTAGCAAAATCACTCTATGGTCACCTGAATATGCCAAATTACCATGAGGGACCCGGTCTCAAATTGTAATTATGAAATCATGGCTAAATTACCAAAATACCCCTCTTTAATTTTTTTTTTTAAAAAGAAAACCACTGCCTCACCGGAATCTGGCCACCGGCGCCGGAGCTCCGGCGGCCGCTTCCGGCCACTGTTGGCGGCCGGACCCCGGTGTCCGGCCGCTTCCGGTGGCCTTCCTTTGTTTTTTTTTTTGTAACTGTTTTTTTTTAAATAGTGAGGGAAGTGAGGTTTGGGGGATTTGATCCCCCAACCTAATGCTTCCCAAAATAAGGAATGATCATTGAGCTAACAAATTTTTGTTAACATTATGATGCAAAAAAAAATATAAGTTAACTCATTTACTCTTGTTCCAGGTGATAACAACAATACATTTAAAAATAACAAGTTCTGATTATAAAATAACAAGTTTGGGATTAAATTTTAACAACACGTTTTTTTTATAACAAAAACACTTTGTTTCAAGTGATAACAACAATACATTTAAAAATAACAAGTTCTGATTATAAAATAACAAGTTTGGGATTAAAATTTAATAACACGTTTTTTTTATAACAAAACACTTTGTTTCAAGTGATAACAATAATACATTTAAAAATAACAAGTTTTGATTATAAATAATAAGTTTGGGATTAAAATTTAACAACACGTTTTTTTTATAACAAAACACTTTGTTTCAAGTGATAACAACAATACATTTAAAAATAACAAGTTCTGATTATAAGATAATAAGTCTGGGATTAAAATTTAACAACACGTTTTTTTATAACAATTAATTATTTTATACTTTTAAAAAATAAATTATTTATAACTTATAAAAAATATTTTTAATATATTTATTTCTCTAAAAAATACTGTTTAATCTGTATATCTATACAACTCATTATAAATCAAACTACTTCTTATAAATTATAAAGTATTTATAATAAGGCATTTTTAATCTATTAATCATAGTATAAATTTTATATTATAAAAAAATATGTTGTTAAATTTTAATCTCAGACTTATTATCTTATAATCAGAACTTGTTATTTTAAATTTATTGTTGTTATCACTTGAAACAAAGTGTGTTGTTATAAAAAAAAAACGTGTTGTTAGATTTTAATCCCAAACTTGTTATTTTATAATCAGAACTTGTTATTTTTAAATGTATTGTTGTTATCACTTGAAACAAAGTGTTTTGTTATAAAAAAAACGTGTTGTTAAAATTTAATCAGAACTTGTTATTTTATAATCAGAACTTGTTATTTTTAAATGTATTGTTGTTATTACCTGGAACAAGAGTAAATGAGTTAACTTATATATTTTTTTGCATCATAATGTTAACAAAAATTTGTTGGCTCAATGGTCATTCTTTATTTTGGGAAGCATTAGGTTGGGGGATCAAATCCCCCCAACCTCACTTCCCCCACTATTTAAAAAAAAAAAGTTGCAAGAAAAAAAACAAAGGAAGGCCGCCGGAAGCGGCCGCTGGCGCCGAAGCTCCGGCGGTCGGACCCCGGTGTCCGGCCGTCAACAGTGGCCGGAAGCGGCCGCTGGAGCTCCGGCATCGGTGGCCGGATTCCGGTGAGGCAGTGGCTTTCTTTTTAAAAAAAAAAAATTAAAGAGGGGTATTTTGGTAATTTGACCATGATTTCATAATTACAATTTGAGACCGGATTCCTCATGGTAATTTGGCATATTAGGTGACCATAGAGTGATTTTGCTAATTCGAGGGTCTTATTTGTGATTCTCCCTTCTTTCTTTCTTACTAGTATAACGTGGAGTAATTTTTACTGCTTTTTTGTTATTATCAAAAAGAAAAAAAAATATCTTTTCATCCTATTTATAAGTAACTTCATTACATTATTAATATGAACATACTATTTTATCTTTTCTTATTATTGTATAAATTATTATTTTTTAAAAGTGTATATGTTAAAGAAAAAGTTGAAAAATTGTTAAATTTTAAGATATAACTGATTAGATTTATGGTTTAATTGTTCTAATAAAACATGATGAAATAATTTATAAATAGAATTAGATGAGTATTTAATGATAGAAAAAATTAAATAGTCCTGTGCTAAATTAAAACGTAGTACTGTCATGCAACGCAAAATAAAAATATGGAAAAATGACGTTTTGGCACCAGCCGATCAAGATAATGACACTTTAAAATATCAAAATTTTAAAATATCAGCAGAGTATCTTATTCCCTTAGTGACATTTCAAAGATTTATTAAATATCGACAAAGGAAAAGGCACTTAATTGACATTTTAAAATGTTATTATTAGTATTATTCCACTATTATTTAGTCTAAAACTCTAGAGGGTCACTTATTACTCTAAAATCATGCCCCTCAGGTCTGCGTTCCAGTAGCGGGATGGTTAGAAAGTAGGTAGTAAGGCACTCCCACGCCTCCAGGTACTGGGCTCGAAACGCGGCACGCCCACGGGTAAATTCCGGATTAGTCAATTACCTAAAGGGTGCCGGATACTGGGGGTTTTAAGCAAAAAAAATAAAAATAAAATCATGCCCCTCAGGCTCCATAACCTATGGGATAATTAATGCTAAGCGGGATCCAATTTTGCTGGTCAAGTTTTGGAATCTGGATAACCTGTGGACCCAATTATTTGCACCAAACTCAATATTTTAAGGATATCGGGTTTCCGTTAAGACATGCCGTACTTGGCACCCGGGAAAAAAAAAAAAAAACTTGGCATGTCCATAGAAATTTTGCATGATTTTTTTCAAAAAATTATGGCATATTTAAAATTTTGAACTAACAAAACTACTATATTATTAATGTTGAGAAAGAGATATATTTTTTCTGGGAAAATTTCAGAAAAAGAATTTTGAAATTATCATTTCCCAATTCAGTATCTAAAAATTAAAAATGATGGAGAAAAAAGTGATGTCTGATAAAGTATTTTGCAAATATAGTTAAATAACTAAAACATCCTTATATTAAAAAGTTTATTAACAAGTTCTAAATGACAAGTGTTGAATGGCAAATAACAAGAAATATACAGACAATAACAATTTTAATAACTTTGTTTTTTAATATGATACAAGAGCATTTTAGTCATTTAAATATATTTGTAAAATATCATATTAGACACTACTTTCTTTTCAGTCATTTTCAATTCTTAGATGTCCAATTTAGAATATTACATTTTTTAAAACTTTTTTATTTGTTATTTTCCCTATTTTTTTGGCCGGCAAGATAAATGAATATTTACTTGCATCCTAAGCATATCTGATCTGCGTGCACATTTTTTTAATATAAAATTTAAATTATTACAAATTGGAAAAATTAATCTTTTGGTCCTCTAATTTTTAACTCAATTCTCTAACTATGACTGGACGTGACTGAGTCTCTGAACTTTCAACTTGGTGATGACTCAGTCCTTTAACTTTTCACATTTAATAATTTAATCCTTTTTTATATATAAATTATGTTGAGTCATCAATTAATTATCTGATGTGGCAAAATATCATTTAAAAGTATTAAAAATTGCAATCAGTGCTTCCAGCATGGGAACAAAAAAACGCAAGGTTTTTTCTTTCTTCTTCATCCGCTCCGGCAAGGCCGACAGATGCAATAAGAATGGATATGAAAAACAAGTAAATAGAAGTTTGGTGGACCAAAGATAGAGATAACTGGAAGCCACGACAATTTTATGCCATACATGAGACTCCATTTTAACTATGCTTCTCTAACCTGGTCTCCAAATGTCAACAATGACAGACTGGTACCCAGTTGTCAGTACAAAAAAAAAAGAAGGTACCCAGGTGCTTTTAGTTTTGTAATTGATTCAATTTCAAGAATACAATTCGATAGTGCTAATTTATATTGGAATTGTATGATGTTGTCATAGGGCTTGGGCTGCATACCGTGTAGCTGACTTAGGTTATGTTTAGGATTGCAGTTGGAGAAGCTAAAAATACATGGAAAAGTGTGAAATTGAGGTTAGTGACTTATTATGGCTTAGAAGATTGTTTGGATGGGGCTTCTTTTCTAACTGACTTATGGAAAAAAAATAACTTTTCTAACTGACTTATCCAACACAATCTGAATTAACTTTTCTAACTGATTTATGGGAAAATTATGCAAAGCTTATGATCTAATTAGTCATATGATTTCATTTACTTTAATTAGAGATCAAATAAATTTTAATTTATATTCTTATTTATCCATTATGTATATTTAATTAATTATCTACAATGTGTTTTCAAATTTTTCTCCGTAACAAATATTTTTATTTTATAATCTCACAAATAAACTATTTATATTTTATCATAATAATTTTACGTATTTTTTAAGTTATTATCACATTAAAAACATAAAATTTCAAACACTACTATTCAATAAAATCCATACATTTTTCAGTCATTTATAACTAAACTAACTTTTTTATTAATCATTCAAGCAACTTTTAACTTTTTCAACTGATTTTTTATAAGCATCTATCCAAACATAAATCATATTACACTAACTGACTTTTACTCTAACTTTAGTTACAAAAGTCAGTTAGACTATAAATCAGTTTTGTCCAACGCCAATCCAAACATACCCTTATATTTGGTTCACACTGTAGCCCTTTTGAATTTTCCCTGCGTGGCCTCGCCGGAGTGGTTGAAGAAGAAATCTGATGTCCCCCCCTCCAAATGAAGCTCTAATTGCAATTTTTAATACTTTTAAATAATTATTTTTTGCCACATTAGATAATTAATTGATGACTCAACATAATTTATACATGAAAAAAGATTAAATTATTAAATGTGAAAAGTTGAGGAACTCAGTCATAACCGAGTTGAAAGTTTAGGAATAGAGTCGCATCGAGTTATAATTAGAAGATTGAATTAAAAATGAGTTAAAAATTAAAAAGCCAATAGATTAATTTTTCCTTACAAATTATTTTAAGATTTGAGAAGGTTATTTAAGAACCACTATTTCGTTGTTAACAGCACAAAAGTTTGGTTGATTGATCATTCCAACTTCCAAACCCGTCTCCTGTACTAATGCTATACCATAAGGAATGGATAAAACAAGAGAGCCCCTGAATCCTAATCCTAATTACAGCATACAAATCTAAAACGAATTAAAGTCTGATTATTGATGGTTCGGATTTCTACTGGGCTACTTGGCTAATGCTTAATGATTATCCAATCAACAGGATAATTTCTGAAAGGGAAATCAAAATCCAAGGATAAATATTTACACAGAAGTAGTGATTGAGAATGTCTGGCAGAAGGCGAGCATGGCTTGACACAACCACGTCCCTTCTCGGTCAACAACCTCCCTCACCTCCCTATATCCCTCGCAGTCCTCGCCTTCACTCTGTTTTCCTCGAGATGTCCTCTTCCCCTCCCGCTAACCCTACTCGCTGCGTCTTCCTCGGTGTTGACGTCGGCACCGGCAGCGCCCGCGCAGGTCCGTTGTTTTCAGATGTCATTCGTGTGCGTGCGTTTTCGAGTTTGTTTTGTTGGTTACTGGTCTGATGATCGATTTCGGGTCGGGATTTGGTGTTTAGTTTTGCTTTCTTCTGCATTGTTTGGAATAAGCCATCTTATTTGATGATGATGGTGATGTGCATTTCAAATTCGTGTGGAGCTTTATTGTTGGTGATGATAGTTTTATTCATGCTTGGTGAGGCCATTGACTATTTACACCAAAGGGACCGATTGTCGTTCAAGTGGTTTTGGAAATTTAATGTCCGTACTCGGTAGTTTGTGGATGAAATTGAGACTTTGAAACATGCCGTTACTTTTGATCACCATTGTTCCGAGTTCCTAGACCACATGAATTTGTTTCGAGCCTCTAGTCCATTGCCAATTTCTGGCACTGCGTTTTCAAATTCTGTTTATAAATTCATAATTTTTTATACAAGTTATAACATTTCTAGATTCTCATTTAACAGCCTTTGTGGTTGTTTCTTCCTCTTCCACCATTTTATCTGAATGCCTTCCAACAAATACCCTTCATTCCTTAATGTTTCATATATTTACGTTGTCACAAAAAAAGTATTATTTTTATGAGCCATTGGAGTGATAACTCGTAAAATTCAATGTTATTTATAATGCGTGGTCACTGCACTATAAGCCGTGCTTTGTACTTGCTAACAAATTTTTGTTAAATCTGTCAAACTATTATAAATGAGAATGTCATAGCTATTGATAGTGTGTGGGGCTTTTGCTGCACCAAGGGCTCTGACATGCTAAAGCGCATAGCATTTCATGGACAACTACCAGGAAGTGTACCTTACAATTTTAAGATATTTGAAGCGTAGTTGATAATGAAAAATATATACATGCAAAACCAAACTCACGTTAAAAAATCAAAAGAGGATTCATAGCGACGCAATAATCGTGCATAAATCACATTGAGTACCTAAATCATAAAAAATATTGTTTAACATAGTTTTTGATTTTAAGCTTCTTCCTAAGATATTCATACAATCCCCCTTCGTTAAATGCAACATACTATAATGCTCATCACTAGCCATTGCCTCAATTTCCTCTTCATATTCTGAGGTTACTGTTTTTTCCCCATCTATGATATAAGAGCACAAGAAGAAGAGAGTGCCATTGCCCTCTTCTCTTGGTCATGAATACTAAATCATTCAATCTTGAAGCAATACAAAATATTGCTTAATGAATACGAAATCATTCAACATTGTTTGTCTGAGATTGGTCAAGTGAGTCTCCAGAGGTGGTATTTGTAAAATCACTTGAATTTTGTTTTTATTTGCTCTATTTATATTTAGGACCTGTAGCGTTATATATACACAAAAGTAGCTCCTGTAGCATCAGCTATATTGGAGCAATATGAAAATTGCAACACTACACATCTGACGTAGTGCCAAGAACTGCTGCATTGAGCTACCAGCAATAGTGCTATAGCATATCCCAGTTTCATTCAACAACCACTGATTACTTCTTCCCGACACTTCTGTCTTCTATAATTTTAGGTCTCTTTGATGAGAATGGGAAGCTTCTTGGTTCGTCTAGCAGTCCAATACAGATATGGAAAGATGGTGCCCATGTTGAGGTACAGTATTTGACTAATTGGACTTTCAATAAATCTACAAGCAGCTCAAGTAGGACAGCCACAGATTTAATATGTTTGTCGTCTCACTGATCTTGTAGTTGGGGTATGAATTCTATATTTTTTTCTACTGACTGTGAAAACTATATGACAAATCCTTGGGATGAATTCATTACTACCAAATCTTGGCAAATGAAGTCCGTCTAATATTTATGAGGACTATACTGTCAAACACAGTTAACATTAGTGGCTCTGGCAGTCTTTAAGGCTTTATTGTACATTAGACGTAAGTTTATTTAGTTTATCCAGATTGGTTCCTGTGTAAATTTAGGTGTTGAGATGTTCTATTTTTTGAAACAGCAATCTTCTACGGATATATGGCATGCAATTTGTGCAGCTGTAAAAACGGCCTGCTCTTCAGCAGAAGTTGCATCCGAAGAAGTAAAGGGTCTGGGATTTGCAGCTACTTGTTCTCTTGGTATGTGACATATTTGACATAGTTGCTTTTTCCTTCCTAGCAGTGAATATTCAATTGTATTTGCATAACTGTAACTGGTCATTCATGGCAGTTGCGATAGATGCTGATGGCTCTCCTGTTTCGGTCTCTTGGAGCGGTGATTCAAGAAGAAATGTGATTGTATGGATGGATCATAGAGCAGTAGAGCAAGCTGAGAGGATCAATTCCAGTAACTCGCCTGTATTACAGTACTGTGGTGGCGCTCTTTCACCGGAAATGGAGCCTCCAAAGGTATCGTCTGAAGTAATCCAGTTATTTCACCCCTTTCTTCTTTATGTAGTTTCCCTTCCTCTACTAAATTCTTTCTTCGCATATAGCTGAACCCCTCTGTTGTTCTGATATTTAGCCATACCAAACCCCAGGCTTTTCTCATACCATTTCATTTTCTGTTTGCAGATTTCTCATTATCTACTTTATTATGTGTATAAATTTTCTATGCTTCCACACACACACACACACACACACACTCTCTCTCTCTCTCTCTCTCTCTCTCTCTCTCTCTCTCTCCTGGTTGTGGTGTGATTCTAAACTTCATTTTGTCTACGATTGCTTCAATGTTAAGTAGTATGACAATGGTTACCTGAAACCATTTTTACAACTGGGAGAGGTACTGGGTATGAGCTGCATGAGGGAATCTTGTTTTCTCTTGTTGATTGAACTTGGAACATCAAGGTTTACAAGAGTAGTTGATCATCCTTACACAAATGGTACGATTTATAAGAATTATCTAGTAATGAATTATTTTTTAAAAGGGAAATTAATAACATATGGAGCAGAAAAATTGTGAACTGAAGGTTTAAACGAAGCGAGCACATGCTCATCAAAAGGATGAGCATGGAGTGCTCATCTTAGTCTAGACCATTTAGGTTGATTTTGGATGGTTCAAATTCAATTTAAGTAGTTTTTATATGTTAAATAATTTTTTATTTTAATAGATATAGAATTTAAAATAAAGATAATATCATAATTGACTCTTCTGAAAAAATAAATTTATTATGGAAAAAATTGTAAATTTAAAATTTTAGATCCAAACCATCCAAACCATATTTTTAATAGTCCAGAATGAGCATAGTGATGGGCACTGAATGAGGACTGTTAAACGAATTGTGTTTAGGGTTGGATTGATATGCAAGTAAAACGAAGGGAAGTATCTTCATTGGGCTGTATGATTTCTGTTAATAATGCCTAAGAATGTAGACTTCAGAGATCATATGGTTATGAAATCAGTGAACAAAAAAGCACGGGAATCCACAATTCCCTGGTTCCACCTCATTCTTGTTGGCCAAAATCATCCCTAAACTGATGGCTAGACTGAGGTTACAAATCGTTGTTTGGGTGACTCACTTAGGAGCTTAGTTGGGAATATTGAGACTTCTCATCTACACTCCATCCGGTCTGCTTTATATTCCTCTCCTTTTCTCTTTTCTCTCTTCCCTTTACCATCCCGTTACACATCACCCTGGAAACTAAAATACTCTGATCTGGATGAGACCTAGAATTTATTGATCTATCTGATGGAAAAGTTATGATGAATCCCTAATACTAACATTAGATTAGAATGTATTTTTTCGCTGAATGCCTCTTGGCTCCTTAAACTTTGGGGTTAATGATCCTTTTGTCCGGCTTTACTTGTATTCTTGTTTGGAGTGTAGCATTGAGTAAATAAATTTATCTATGAGACAATTATAAGTAAATACTCGAGGTTTACCATTAAAGATTCAAGCTACGAGGTTTACCATTAAAGATTCAAGCTACCAAACCTGATCAGCTGTGCACAGGGCTGGTTCGTGTGATGTGTTGTTAGTGTTATCATACTTATAATTAAAAATGGTGCAATTTTCGTGAATTCTATCATGGATTTATTAGTTATTTACTGATACTGTTATAATTTTCAGCTATTATGGGTCAAAGAAACTTTGCCAGAATCTTGGTCTATGGTTTTCAGGTGGATGGACTTGAGCGATTGGTTGTCATACAGGTATTCTGTATTCTTGATGCCAAGGATCTGTGTATCCAAGCCAAATTCACTTCACTTTGATCAATATATTGTAATTTTCTAGGGCAACTGGAGATGATACTCGTAGCCTGTGCACCACGGTTTGTAAGTGGACATATCTTGGTCATGCACACATGCATCAAATAAATGATAAAGACTCTCGAGATATGGAAGCTTGTGGATGGGATGATGAATTCTGGGAAGAGATAGGGCTGGGTGATCTTGTTGAAGGACATCATGCTAAAATAGGTATACTCATGACTTATATTGAGCTACTTAAATCAGTGGCATCTTTTGAGACTACCTCATGTGGAGCATATGCTGAATCCAATTGTAAATAGATGCTCTATTACACAGTATTTTAAATGCAAAAATGGAAGCATGTATGTTGGCAATGACCTTCTTTATCTGGACTGATTTTTTTGTTACATGTCCATCAAATTTGAACTTTAGGAGATAATTTTCATCGATGGCTCAAACTGTGTTAACATAAACTTAGCTTCTGTGCTTATTTAATGAACCATGGACTCTGTTTTTGCGATCACCTGTCATTTCTCTCTTCCTGCGGCTTAACATGATAATGTATCATGATAACAGGACGAAGTGTTGCTTTTCCTGGCCATGCTTTGGGTAGTGGCCTTACCCCTACCGCAGCGAAGGCAAGAAATTTGTTCTCAAGATTTCACATTAATTTAAAGTGGTGATCCTTAGGTATCCCCTAATATAGCATGTGTTACTTGATGGCAATAACACGAGTACAACCTTCCTCCTTTAATATGAATTTGAGTTCATTGCTACTAATTCCAACTTGTGGCATCTTTTAATTCTTCTAATGAGCTTAAATGTCCAGGAATTGGGTCTAGTAGCAGGAATTCCTGTTGGGACATCACTAATCGATGCTCATGCTGGTGGTGTTGGGGTAATGGAAAGTGTGCCCCTGTCAGATTCTGAAGCTAAAGGTTACCATGACACAATGCATTAATTTCTTCTTTTGGCCCTTTTAGGTCTGAGACTTAACACCTTAAAGTTAGGAAAGGAAACATTGTTGCTTACCTATAGGAGATTCTGTATCTTCAGGACATGATAAGGAAGAAATCTGCAACCGCATGGTGTTAGTTTGTGGAACTTCTACTTGTCATATGGCTGTATCACAGAGCAAGCTGTTCATTCCTGGGGTTTGGGGACCATTTTGGTCAGGTAAATCATTTAAGTTTCTCCATTTTATGAGCAAATTGCCACATCTATATTATACTGTAGCTTCTTTTGATAGGCACAAACTATTGTGTGAATAAATTATGCCTGCCTTTCTTAATTTTTTGCTGAAATCATGTAGATTTGCCTTTGATTTTCAAAATACAGGTGGGCATCACTTCAAACAAAAAATTGATCTATGCTTTAGTCCTTTTTTTTCAAAAGAAAAAATAGATAACATACCCACCATTGAACTGAATGCACAATTTTTTGGTTAAATTTAATGAAATTCTACTCTTTATTTTTATTTATGCATTTTGAGAACCAAATCTATTCCTTTTACTTTATTTTTGTATTTTCAGATGTAATGCATATTCACTTGTTAAAATTCGTACAGGGATTTTAGTTAAAAGAATGGCTAAAGTCTATATCTTTAAAATAAACCCTGTAACTTCATTTTATTTTTATTGTGGATACCATTTTTAATGACCGTAACGGTCATTTATTCAATTCAAACTTCGTTAAGGCTTAATTGTTAAAAATTATAGCTGCAATGGGGCAAGGGGGAATTTTCCCTCTGAGATGAGGATTTTCAGTGTTGTGTAGTTAAAAATTCATGAATTGTTATCTACTCTGATTGGTTCTGAGTTCATTTGAATGTTGAAATTTTAGACTTTTAAGATTGCATACTCATTCCTCTTATTGTGTATGTCTTTGGGCTTGTAATGCTGTTTCCACATCTGGCTACGGTAAATTCTTTTTGGAGAACATAAGTTTTCGCACATAAAATTGGGAGCTAAATTTAATGGGAGGTTACGTTTCACTCTATCATGTGAATGATGCCCAATTTTATTTTCATTCATCTAATTTTGTTAGGATCAAGTAGCAAATTTGCAGTTGCTCCTTTTGGCATCTGCTATATGGTGATTTTTTTTGCTTCATCTGTATGTTCAGCGATGGTACCAGAATATTGGCTCACGGAAGGTGGTCAGAGTGCTACTGGTGCATTATTGGATCATATAATCGAAAACCATGCTGCCTCTCCTCGCCTTGCTAATCAAGCTGCTTCTCAAAGTAAGGTTATTGCTTTATTTGGAGCATATCCACACTGATATATAAGCAAGGCTAACTGTTCTTTGCTTTAACTTTTCAGAGGCTTCTGTCTTTGAACTCCTGAACAAGATCTTGGAGAAGTTGATGTCTGAGCAGAACCATCCCTTTGTTGCTGCGTTGACTGAAGATATACACGTTCTTCCTGACTTCCATGGGAACAGGTGTTTGCTTAGTGACAAAATTTCCTCTGTTTCAGCTGTGACAGCTTCTAAATAATAGGCTTCTCTGTATGATGGTTTAGGTCTCCCATTGCAGATCCAAAATCAAAAGGAGTTGTATGTGGTTTGACACTTGACACGAGTGAGAAACAGTTGGCCCTTTTATACTTGGCAACTGTACAGGGAATTGCGTATGGTACACGTCATATTGTTGAGCATTGCAATGCCCATGGCCACAAAGTAAGGATGCTCTAAACTGTCGCAAATATTCAAGAATAATATATATATATGTGTATATGTATATGTATATTCTGTTGGCTTGTAACTAACACCCTCAACTATTTTCTGATATTTGCCTAGAGTCTGAGACTTGCCTTTGTTAAATTCTATAGTTGCCTCCTCCTTTGTACTTTATGGAGAGGTGGTATATGCCTGTTGGATGAAAAAGTTAGTGGCGAAGTTTGACAAACTATAAATGATGATATTTGATTGCAGCTGTTTTTCCAAGTATCTATTAATTTGTCATTAATTTTCCGACTATATGGCATAAGATTGATATTAAAACGGTCAATATATACTGATTGGGTGGACTCATATCTGACAGCATCGTTCCATAATTAGTATAGGATTGAGACCTTGGGTACTCGTTGTGTCAGGGGAACAACTAAAGCAATCAAACAGCAGTTTTACAGTAAGATTTGCGAAGGAATTTGCTACACCGAGCTTCTATGAATAGACATAATATTTTACCATATCCTATGTGCGGCTGAAACATTTAATGCTCGGTCAGCTAGGGAGCCTGAGCTTTATATGCCTTGGTTTCAAAGAACCGTCTGACTTGAAAGCCCAGGAAGTTGTTCAAAACCTTAAACAATGGTTTTGATAAGTAACACTTTAAAGCCTATTGTCAGAAGGAAAATCCAGGGCTAAACATCTCTTTATTCTGTCCTTCACATTAAACAGTGGACTAAGATTTTTATAAGATCATGACTGTCACTTGTATATGCCAGTATAGTAGTCTATTATTTTTTCAAAAGGCTAAAATAATTTATGAATAACTGCTGTAAAGCCCTGTCACTAATTTCTGTTCGTATTACTGATTCAATGCTGACATCTTTTCAATCTTGTAATGCTTCTGCCCTTTGCTTACAGATCAAGACCCTACTTGCATGTGGTGGCCTTTCAAAGAATCCTTTGTTCATTCAGGAACATGCTGATATTATTGGTCTCTCTCTCTCTCTCTCTCTCTCTCTCTCACACACACACACACACACACACACCCTCTCCCCCTCTTTGTCTCTGTGCGCACGCCCATGTTAAGAATCTTTGTCCTACACTAATATTGATCTTTTTTAATGTTAATAGTCACAAGAAGGATGCTTGAAAGTCATAATAATTACAAGGAAAAAAATAATAATTTAGCATTTCAATTGTTGTTTTGAACACAAGTATATGGGATCCTATGGTCTCCTACAAAAACTAGGTCGAATTGTTCCCCAAGATGGATTCTTAATAGTATAAATTCAATTGATGCTGGCGAAGGTCGGTGGATTTTCTGTGATTTTCTTAATATCATTTCATCATTGTCACTCGATTTGTATTCGTTTATAATTTTTGAATCGGAATCATGGTTATGATTTTCCTAGGCTGCCCAATAATTCTTCCAAGGGAAAGTGAATCTGTGCTCTTGGGAGCTGCTATTTTGGGTGCTGTGGCTTCGAAGAAATTTTCTAGCCTTAATGAGGCCATGAAAGCCCTGAATGCAGCTGGTCAGGTGTGTTTGCCTTTCTTTCTATCTCAAAAACTGATGTATTTTTATTTCTGTCTTTGGATGAGGATTTAAGGTTAGTTTTAGAAAGGTAAATGTAGCGATTATACCTTCTAAATGGTTCTGGTTTCTGCACCGTCTGCATTTTTATAAAATGGATACTGACCTTGAAAGTTTTAGGAACTGCAATGCATGGTGAAACCACCATAAACAGCACGAATTAAGTTTAATTTCATTTATGCATGCCGTTGTTGGAATAAAAAAAGATAATCAGATTCTGCACTTAGAAAATTGAAGACAGATTCCTTGATCCCTGGCGAACCGATTAATAGATTTTGCCATGTCAGCCACCTGGGGTAGCAAGAATTCAAATCCCTCCTCACGTTACCTTTTTTTCAATTAAAAGATGTGTGTTAAACAGTCATGAAGTAGCCTTTATTGTCCCTTGTATAGTCTAATCAAGTGACTGAATTATGGCAGGTCATTCGTCCATCTGAAGACCCTAAGGTGAAGAAATACCACGACACCAAGTACAAAATTTTCCGTAGCCTTTATGAACAGCAGCTCTCGTATCGTTCCCTGATGGCTCAAGCCATGGCATGATTTCTCCACCTGCATGAGCTCAAACTGGGGTTGCTTTGACGTTATTTCTTGGTTTGAGGGTGAAAACTAGTTGGTGTTATTGGGGAAGTGTGAGCTAAAAATTAATTGGTATGCAATGAAATCGATTTCTCAAGGCCATGGATTTCAGATGCCGATTGGACACTTCAAGAAGTACATGGAACATACAGGGTGAAAAATCATCAATTTGAGTCGGAAAGCTTTTATGTATGGCCTCATGTGGCTTTTCCCCCCATGAATGTATAGAAGAAAGAGTTTTGAGTTTCGCTTATGGATTCTCTGTTATAATGTGGATGAAGTACATGATTGGACAAGACTCCTGTATTTTATCTATATAATGCGGTACAGAGAATAGGAATGCAAAGAACACCCAACAAAGGGTCACAAATTGTGTGGGTGTGTGTGTGTAATTAAAGGTTGGCAAAAAAAATTTTGTAATTAAAGGGATATGGTCTAACGGTATGAGATTATAAATTGAATCGAACTCGTGACTTCTCATTTATTGAAGAGCTTTCATGAATGATATCTTTTAACATTGTCCTTCATACCAATTTGTTTTCTCATAAATAAAATATTTTTAATTGGATTTTCAACGAGAATTTTCCTGCATGCATATATTCCAAGGTTTAGTTTATTAAGATTATTAAGGTGCTGTGGATGGGCAAAGGATAGTAATCAAGGTTTGGTTTCTTTTGATTATTTTGACTTTAATAATATATAATAGAAAATTTATATTGAGCCATACTATTTAGAAATCTTGTGGTTTATTTTAAAATTCGTACAATCTACAGGAAATATGTTTAGTCATTAATAATTATAAATTGGAATGTTCTTTATTGAAGAAAAATTGGATTCAGAAGACACAAGACGTATTGGAATTTGACTCCTAATTGCTACAAGACTGGGTTGCCATGTCGAAGGCAATTGGGATTTCTTTTGCTTGGTTAAAGAAAACATGCAAAAAAGAATGCTTAAAAAAGAGATTATTTAGTTTCTATATTACTATACATTTGAGACAAAAATTATTGACTGCGGTCTTAATTATAATTAGGACCGCAGGTAGTATTATATTATTATTCAATTTGGATACAAGTGGAAGTAATTGTGCAGTAAATGTTCCTTAAGTAAAAACAATAATAAGTTCAACCATTTGAAGTTAACATGAAGGCAAACAAAAAATTGTCCCACAAACACATATCGTGAACAAAAATGGCGGTCTGTTCTTTTGCGGTTGACGTGCAATTATCGTATTTCTCCATCACAAATGAAGATAGTTCACAAAATTTAGAAATGCTTTATCAAAAGAAAATTTAGAGAACATAATTAGTACAATTCAGTGTTAACGTCTTTCAGCTAGCTATAAAATAAAAGAATATTGCTATATATTCGGAGAACGGCTATATGTAGTAATCTTTATCCTGAATTTAAATTGATTGCAGAGATAATTGGACTTTATCCGTAATTTTATCCTGAATTAAATTATTCATAATCAAAATTATGCGTTGGCAAAAGGAAAAAATCACAATCATGCAATCGTCTATTTGGAAAGGAATTAATATAAAGAAGTGAAACTATATAATATAAACTTGATACAAATCTTTATGAATGTGCACTAATGCACATCATATGTGAATCATTTAAATTTTATTTAGCTGAGTAAGGTTTTATTTTTTTACTTTAAATGATCATTTTTAATTTTAAGTCAACAATTAGGAGATAAATTTAACTGCATCTCTGGTTTCATATAAAATAAAAATATTAAAAGTTACTTAACAATATTCAGATAAGATTTGCAGATGATACAAGTGCTTTCTTCGATTCTAAATACAAGAGCTCCTAGTAAGAGGTAATTCATCACAAATGATTGAAGATAATGAACACACATTTTTAACAAATTACTAACTTAACAAATGATTGAAGATAATGAACACACATTATATTAGGGATAAGAGAAGTATTTTGTTTTTTCTATACATGTTTTTATAAGTATCTCACCAACTCTCTTCAACGATTTAAAAAAAAAAAAATTTTGGGGCCTGAAGGTCTCTTTAATTTATTTTACCATATGCAGTAAAATTTGTGATGATAAAAAATCTAATTCTTGTCCTCTCCTTCATGTTACTTCTCATTACATGTATTTCCCATCACCAGAAAATAAAAATAGGAAAATAATAAAAAATTGTGTAGGGTAGAAAATCCACAAAGTCAAATTGTGTGACACAAGCAGCATCTGTTCTTTTGAACCTAACACGCGGGGGTAGACTTTTCCGTTACAGTCAAAGTCGGCTTCATTTGTCTGACTGTGCACACGTGTTGCAACATGAGTGGCCACGCTCTCATTAAAAATCACATGAATATATATGTAGGGGTGTGTGTGTGTGTATGTAAGAAACGGGGAGGATTAGTAAGTCCGCTCTAAGTATAAAAGGGAGAAAACAAATGGACAATCACCAACGGAGTACATCACATTTCAACTCCAGTATTCCTTTTTGGCTTCCCACCCGTTATTTTACGCTAGCTCCTTATTACGGGAAACTTCATTACCCCAAACTAATCCGGTTGAGCTTTGTTGGGACTTCTTTGGATGAAGATTTTGCCACTTATGTTGTTGCGTTCTGAAGTCTAGAACTCAAGATTCTTGGTTAAAATTGGAACAACCCCCTTACCACTTTATGAGTTCTTTCATTCTTTTATATATTAATTATCAAGCTCAGTTTTATTCAATATACAACCTCCGGTCTTAAATATAAAAGCTAGTTGACTAATTTAAATAGATTAAGAAAATAAGTTAAGTTAGTTATTCATAATAAATATTTGTTGTTTTTTCTAAAATAAGTATATTGGCTAGAATTATCATTATTAGGACTACTTTGAGAAAAAAATGTATAAACATAAGAGATAAAGTGGATTAGAGTCTTATATTTAGGATCAAAATAAAAGTCAAAGGAGGTTTTATATTAATGACCAAAGTAGTATAACACATTATTTACTCAAATTCAATCATGCATACTTGAACAACTGAACAATATAATATATATATATATATATACTTCTTAATTCTTATTATAAATCACCATATATGCACATATTATTATATACGAGCAGTCGCATTTTTATTATCGAACAAACAGTCAACTATTAATCCCATAAATAAATCAAACCAGAATTTTTTTTTTCACGAAGTTGAATCATACTGTTTTAAGCTCCAAAAATAAAAGCCTGAATGATAAGTTTATCACAAGCTTAAAACGTAACCCTCTAGCGCTAATTAAGCCTGAACTGTTATTAAGAAGTTTTGTTTTATTAACTCATTACCTTGGAAATATTATTCAAATAAACTTCATTAATTAATTAAACTCTATTATAACGACATTTATACATGATAAACCCATCAAGTTAAAACACCAGCTAAGGTCAGCAATTAATTGTGTTTGCATCCTGGTCACACAACATATATGCACAAAACCAAACGTGTTTTGGTAGAGTTAAGTCAATGAGAAATGATCATCTGCACATGGCTGAGAATTTTTTAGTGTATCATCCTCCTAATTAACATGAGTGTGTATAAAAAGACGATCGATCCTGATATTCATAATAGTTAAGAAGTTTGTTAATTAATTAATAAAACGAATAATTATATTGAATGGGTTTGACATTTGTTGGCCGGAGTGACCTAAACGAGAGGGTAATTAAAGACCAACAACCTTCAATAGGTATTGTGCTTAATTAATGTGTGTGTGTGTGTGTGTGTATAAATATTACAAAGAAAGTGCACAGATAAATTAAATATATATGGTAAGTAGTAACAGTTTGATTGATTGATATTATTATTATTTTAATTATATCACTAACACGTATTTGTTGGACTGCTGCAATAAGTCATGAACTGTCTTATTCAAAGAGAATACTGTTAGTAGCGTATTAAAATGAAAAAAAAAGAATTAGGCTCTCAAAAGTCTAATTGAAGCATCTTCGTCAACCCAGTGACGACACATACAAGAGTGTTTATCTTTCTTCTTTTTTTATATTCAGACAACTTTGTTAAGAAAGCAGTCAATTAAACAAGGATATGATCCAACGTGGCACGACAGCGAAGTTCATATAACCTTCTTATTGAACTAAAAGCAAAATGGATATTGATAAGTAATTATATATATATATATAATGCAGAAAATCGAAGCGTGATATTCCTTCCAGTCTCATTATATTTGTTGGTTGCTTTATTATTTGAGCCCAAGTGATTACCCAAAAGGCAGAATTAACACATTCTCTGAATAATATTATTTTTCTGACTTACATGCGCCACCTAATTTAAAAGGTTTCATGTTCATGCTCTAGCTATTCTTTTCAAAACCATTCATAGTTTTTACCCCTGTTATGGATTTTACCACGGGATATTTAGAATCCATGACACGTTTACAAATTATCTAATATAGTATTACCGCGTCTTTAATATAAGATCCAATTGATTAATTTGAGTAAATTTAAAAAATTAATTATATTAATTATTTATAATAAATAAGTGTTGTTTTTTCTAAAATATCCTTATTAATCATGTGTGTTAATTAGAATTATCATTTGATGAAACTTTTAACATATGCAATTACCCCCGTCCTTTATTATAAGATCCAATTTTTGAATGGGTTTGTCCCTTTTTATAATATTTTCTTTGAGTTTGTCTGAGTATTTAATACAGTATTACCTATTTTACCCCTAATTTAATGTATTTAATACATTCTCTTTCTTTATTTATCTCATTATTACTCTATCATATTTATCCATTTTTATATAGGGGTATATTTGGAAAAAAAACTACATTTGCTACATGTTAATTGTTTTAACTATTTTTAACTATTTTTTTAAGCCTCGTAATTTACTTAAAAGAATCTTATAATAAGAGACAGAGTAGTACTACATTAAGAAAAAAATAGATAAATATGAGAGATCAAATATATTAAGGTTTTATATTTATGATTAAATTAAATGTCAAATTAGTTCTTATATCAAGTATCGGAAATAATATTACTTATTGGCTCAAACTCAAACATTATCGGATTTATTCGATTTCGTCCACAAAGACTTTGTGCATTCTACGTTTAATGGAAATTGATTCATTTTGTGAATGGTTGAAACCAGGGGGAGTTTTCTTTTGTTTTTCTCTTTCTGAACTCAGACTCTTTGCTTATCTTCTAACTGGGAGAGGAGTCTCTCTCTCCTCTTCCCTTCCCATTAGGTTTTGGACAGAATAGCTAGAGCATGAACATGAAGTAGCTAACTAATATCGGCCGAAAACCTTGAGCATATTGTATTTGTTTCCTTGCTAACTAAGAGCGACCTAAGCAAACCTTTGATTATATTATATCTTCATATTAATTTTGAGTGAGCTGTGTGAAATTCCACTGTGATTAGTTCAGGCTTATCTGTGTTCAACCTTGAGTGATTGAACAGACTGTAAGTGATGAACTTATTGTAAAACCTATAAGAAAATATACTTGGTTGATCATAGTGGAAAAATG